GGTCTGGGCCTCCCTTCTGAAGCTGCTGCCCCCGCGACCCGACCCCGGATAGGCGGAAGAAAATGGATGGATGGATGGATAATATGAAAGGGTAAGTTGTTTAATTATAAGGCCCTGTCACACTAGACAGCTTAGGCCAACTATGAAACATTTTTWTGTCTAAATTGATAATAAAAGTTGTATATTTGATCAATTTGTRAGAATTAAATTATGTACACTACACGCCTAAATTAAGTTCCCAGTTGATTTTTTCCAATTCRATTTTCAARGTAGATATCTTGAAAATTTTCACAAGTTGGCATAAGTTGTCTAAAACATCWTAGTGTGGCAGGGCCTTAAGTTAGATCATAGATTGGGAGCAGTAACTGCGAAAGTACGATCACCTCTACTCATAAATCTGGATCTTGCACCATCTAGCAACACATTGTTACTTCCTGTAATTAGTAATTAGTAATATCACTTGCTAACTATATAATTGCTGGTAAGGTACTGTGATTAAATCTAAAAGTAAAGTAGCCTAACTTGGGTTTTAGTTTGAACCTCATCAAATGGTTCAATGAAAGGTTGCATTGTAACAAATAACATTAAACATCCAAAGTTCTGTAAGAAATGTTTGAAAAGCAAACATCACTTCAAAGTAACAGCTTCACTTTGAAGAATAAAGCACACTAAGGATTAATTGTACTGTAGCTTTGAGGGGGAGGTCAATTTTAATTTTAACTGCAATGTACAGCAACTAATTAATGATTCTACATTACATAACCAAAAAAAACAAACATTCAAATATCAGAATAGGCCAAGTAAAAACTAACGGGGGTGAGGAGCTGCAGGCAGAACAGTGTAAAATAAGAGGGAGATCAACGTGAGCATGCTCAGTTCCACAGAGTCCCACAAGGTGTGAAATGAGTGAAGAGGATGTGAAGGGAAACTGCAATAATAGAAAGCGTAAGAGCAGATGTCATTAAACTTCAACTGCACATTTTCCCCTCTACAAGTTGCTATGGGGTCAGTGGTCTCCTCTCAAATGAACATAAACCATGACCACTTCAAGATGAGGGAACATTATTATAAGCTCTGCTGGCTTTGGCATTATTCCTTTTCCTTCATTCTGCAAAGTCCCGTGACGCATATCTCACCCCCCAAAGAGGGAAAATGTTTGTGGAAGTTTTCATGGTGCTCCTAATGACAGGATGCAAATTGTATTTTAGAAGTGTCTAAATTAAACCTCCCAGATATACATTTACTGGAACAAAACTGGGTGTGATTATGCCGTTATGTGATCAAGTTAAGAGTTAACACAGGGTTTCCCTTGAGGGAAGCCCTGGGGATCCCAAAAGAGGTATTTACATTCTGCCACATTTAAATATAGACGCAAAACAACAAACCTGTGTTAGTCAACAGTATTCCCTAAAGTCACGTGCTCTTAATTGCAGTAGCAGGGTCAACCCTTTCTGCTTGTTGGTCACTTTTCCTTGGTTAAAATATGTAGACACTGGTATACTGATAAAATAAAAACTTTGTTTATGAAACACAGTGCAGAGGCACTGAGGCCTCTGATTTCATTAGAGGCTGAACAAGTGTTCATAAAAACGTGTCTWTATTACCTTTCATATATTGCCATCTAGTGGATGACAAATGTTTAACTCATACAGAATGTGGAYCTAGAGACATCAGTTTATCTTAAATTACTAAAAGTGGGAATGATTTTTTTTCTTAAATTTATTTCCCAAAATTCCCGCCATTTCAATGCATCTTATGAGAAAAACACAACTATATACTATTGGGCCGGAAAAAATGTAGAGGCTGAAACGAAGTGAATCAATGGGCCTTTGTGTGTGCTTAAACTGGATCTTTATCTTTTCAAAACATGTTAAAGTTRAAGAATCATTATTATCCCCAAGGGGCAATTTGCTGCACAGTCAGTAGACATAAAAACAAACACATTCATACACAAACACAAAAAAGATCACAGATGTTTGTTAAGAAAGTTGACTGTGGCAGGGATGAGTAAGTTTTAAAACTATTAATCCTACATCTGATATCTGCATCCAGATGGAAGAAGCCTGAACTGACTATGAGGTGGGTGATCAGGGTCTGCCAGAATCAGTCTGACTTTTTTTTGGTAAGGTCTATAGCAGCAATTCTGCTGCACATCCTGACAGTCCTCAAGAGTTTGTTTTGTTCTTACATGTCAAAACTCCAKACCAACAGATGAAGGTAAACATTTAAAGAGACTCAATAAAACATTGTCATAAAAGTAGAAACAACATCAAAACCACAGAGCTTTCAATAAAAAATATATTCTCTGATGGGCCGTCTTACAAAGTGAGTTCACATGAGCATCAAAAGTCAGTTCATAATCAGAATAGTTCCAAGATATTTATATTGGTGCACGACCTCCACAGTGTCACCATTAATAATCATCCAAAGAGTTTTTCCTAAAATCAATGGTATGTATGTATGTATATGCGGCAACTCAGTGCATTTAGGCATGTAGACATGGTCAAGACAATCTCCTGCAGTTCAAACC